AGAGAGAGAGAGAGAGAGAGAGAGAGAGAGAGAGAGAGAGAGAGAGAATTTGAGAAGGGGGAGAGATGTACAATTCGATAAAATGCGCTATTTTCGTTACGATTGATTTACTACCTCTAGGATCAACAGCTGTTTGTCTTTCACGTTAAATGTAACGTGTTATGTAACAGATTACACGCCGCGCACGTGTTGCATCAGTTGCGCTGACTAGAATTCATCGATCGAAGAGTTCAAAGAGAGAGAGAGGGGGGAGCAATAAAGAGACGGGGTGGGAGAAGAAGGAGAGATTCTTTATAAAGTAATATTAAGATATTAAATACGGAGATAAATTGAAGTAAAAAGGAAGATGTGAAATTTGACGACGTGCACCTTCCATTGACGGGATAACAAGTGTCAAAGCTTTAACGAGACAAACACATCTGCCGCTGGGCGCGTTACGCCGAAAAGAGTAAACAGTAACGACATCGGATTATGTATTCAAGCGGATTTGTTTGCGCTCGCGAAGAGCACTCGTTCCGCGACGCGCGTTACGTAAAAACACGATCGGCAATTATTGCTCATTAATATCCATGCGTTTGATCACAGGCGCGGTGTTAAAAATAAATGCTAAAATACGTCGATATAGGCGGGGAATAATCCTGCGGTATGGGTTTCAAAAAGTATTAGGGATATTAAGATTCAGCGTACCTACTATTAATATCACAGCGTACATCGTTAATGTTCTGTTGCAGATAACAACAAAGGTGGCTGTTTGCTCATCGATCGACGTGATATCGTCCTTGCGAATCTCAAAGAGCACTCGCGGTTATTGCGTTTCCGTGTCTCCCACCGTCTCCAAGGGCTGTCTCCGTCGTTATCTGTCGAAGTAGCATCCTCGTGTCGTCAAAGGGTTAACAACGGGAGTGACGTTCGAAGGAGGAAGGAGAGAAGAGAGTGAGAGAGTAGACGGAGAGGGAAGGCTCGTTTTCCGAGCGAGGGGCACGTCGAGCGTAGCCGAAACGGGAGTAGAATCACCCCCGCCGTCCGCGGACACCGCTGGATCGTCATAATCGAGTGGACAAACCGCCGACAAACAATAGGGACCTGGCCGGTGGCTTCCGATGGGGTCGTAGCCGCCGCATGCAGCGCGCGCGTATTCGTAACAGTATATCGCGATGATAGGCTAGAGCCGGTAGCGGCAGGAAGAGATCGTCGTAGGGGGAGATCGCCATAGCGTAATCGTACCACCCAAGGTGGCACAGATTGAGAGCCCCATCAGCATACATCCTCTCCTGGCTAACGAGATACCCAGCGTGTCCATCCAGTTCGTGCGCGCCGTTACGCCGCTCGCCGCTCGTCAGCTTCCGATCGGCCGAATCGCGTCGACGAGTCAGAAAATTCTGGCGCAAGTCGGAAGAAGGAAGAGAGAAAAAGAAAGAGAGAGAGAAAGAGAGAGGGAAAGAGAGAAAAAAAGGCCGGTCGGGATTTAGCTCTTAATCAACGTTGGAGCATCTAATCCTTCATCCCCGTCATCCACGCGCGCCTGTCCTCGATCTAATTTTTTTTCCTTCGTCCTCCATCGCGTCTCATCCCTCTCGGCTTAAATCGCGCCGCGAGCGTCACCACCTCGGCGTTTCACTCAGAGAAGAAACGGCGGCTCGAGAGTGACAGAGGGGGAGAGAGAGGCAGGCAAATTCGCTCTTAGTGCCCCTCGACGATCCAGCTCCGGCGATTCTCTTCCCCATCGGGACGCCCGCCGCTTCCGGCTAACTGGAAGTGAACGCTCTATGTAAACGATTGCCGAGCGCGGTTCTCATTGGAACACACAGGACGCAGGAAGCGCATCATGGAAGTGGCAAGCGAGCTGTAAGTACGATCTCTCCAATCACGTGAAATGTCGCTATTTTTATTTCCTCTCGTCGCTTTAACGATTGCCCCTGTGACTTGTAAACGACGCGATTGATGATTGATAAACGGCGATATCTTGATCAAGTTTGCATTTGCTCACAGTACGCGAATATCATTCTCGAAACGGATTTTTTCCTTCTTATATTCTGACGCAACTGCTCGGTCATTTGTTTGGACTGTTTTACATTTTATTATGATGAGCTATCATCATCAGACTGCTGATAACCATATGCGACACGTGTGTATCAAATAAACTTTACCCTCTGCCATTTGAATCTCTTGACCCAGTTGCCCCCCTTTTTCCCCCGAAATTTGGAGTCTAGACCTATAAAAAAATGTCACGTAATTTTCGATAAAGACAATTTTAAGAAATCAACTTTAAAAACAGTTTTTTCACATATTATTTCATTCGAATGTGTTTTTTAATATTTGAAATATAAGTATGAACGTTTCAATCTCTCAAATTGTTTGGCAGTTGATTAGCGTTATTTTTCCAGACTTTTATGTGTATATTATCTTTATAGCATTTTTTAATACTTTTAATTCTAAGAATTATCACTTTTTTGCGTGCACACACTTGGCAAAATATAAATTATTCGTATTGGTTTATTTAGGTTGCATGTTGACTTTTAGGCCTAATTAAATGGATTTTAATTTTGCTAATAAATAACACGTATAGGAGGACCAATTTCAATTTTGTCTCGTGATGATATCGCATGTCTCTCACTTTCTCTCTTATAATTTTATTTCCCATGATATTTTTTGCTACGTCTCACGCGATAGTCGTGATAAAATATGCGCGAGTTAGCAAGTTACGACGATTTAATCGTATTTAAGCTAAATTTTAAATTAGTATATCATTAACTTCTACCATGAATATGAAAAGGTCGTAACTTTTTATTTACGATTTAGTGATTAAATCGTAAATGAAGAGTTACGATCTAGTCATTCTAGTCATAGTAGAAGTTAATGACGTACTAATTATATACTGAACAATAATTTAGAGTTAAGCTGAAACGTGTAAAGCGATTAAAAATCATCGTAACTTGACGCATATTTTATCGCGATACGATATGTTTAAACTTCTAATCGTTCGCTGCGCGACTGTCATAGCAAAAAATATCGCAACGATTAGAAAATAAACATTATAAGGAAAAAAGACACGTAATACGCGTTTATCTCATATTACACCGCCTGATATATAAATAGCATGTCGATAGTTCGATTTATGTATCTGAAGATTAAGACGAGATATTTTACGTAATTTAATCACTGCAACTCGCTATTAAAAATGGCAAAATCGCATTTCAACGACGAGTATTCGCGCGGTGAATGGAAGTCACCCTGCGTGTATATATGCAGTTGATCCATTATACGCCGCCGTCGTATATCGTATTCAGCGGCAGCGAGATTCATTGGCACAGAATTCCATAATGGCAACAGCGGGTACGGGTGCTCGACGGCTGCTCATTAAATCATTGTTAAGCCCGTTCTTTGTGATAAGGAACAGAGAGGAGAAGACGGTTGCGCCCGCGCGCGCGCGCGCGCAGCGCATAAGAAATCATCGCCAATTCTAATGAGAATGTGCGTAGAGATACAGCTTCCGCGACGGTGCGTTCCGTCGATGAGTTTCTCGTCTCGAGAGGACGTGCCTCTTTTAGACGACACAGATCACAATTGGCAAAAAAATTTTATTTATAGCTTTATGTCACGTATCGTGCATTCTGATACGCATGGCCTGCACACACACACACGCATTTTGCTTTTTCACTTCTCTTTTACGTTGCCTGGTATAAAAGATTGTAAAAAATTTCGTGCGAATCGTAAACCGCCCAAATTGTATTCTGAAATCTAGTGACGTAGGCTGCTCGATTACAAAAAGAAATATAAAAAAGGGGAGGGCTAAGAATAGATTGAGAAAGAGTTAAAAACAACGAAATGTATGATTAACAAAACTTATAGTTGAATGAGAAGTGCGAGCTTGAGACACGATCCGATGGGTATACGCCAATGAAATGTATTATCGCGAATGCGAAACTGTGAGCGACATAGAAGCTGCACACGTATATCCTTACTGCTGATAAGGAAATACGTGCTCCGCCTCTATCGCGTTAAGCGCTACAACTGCAAATGTATCTCTTATCTCGTGCGATCACCACAGTCGATAGAATTTGATTTAGCAGACTAGACGCGTGCCGTTCGTTTATTTTTATATTGCGTGAGAGATCTTGCGTATAGAATTACCTACTCTTATAATCGATTCATCATATTGACTCGGGATAACGAATGCTTCGATATAAGATTCCTACGTCGCGAGATTAAGACATTCTTTCCTCCTATGATTTCGCTTTTCATCAAAGGTTTGCAGCTTCCGATCGTCCGTACAGATGTCAGTTACAATGTGCACGCGCGTAATACGTGCCATGTAAAACCGGTTACCGTAGTTTGCGTGCTAATTATTCAATTCAAATGCAGAAGGACAGGCGGTAAAGATACAAAAAGTCAAAAGGCTGCATGGTTTTTATGGAAATTTTTACCCGTCGGCCGTACAACATCTGAAATCAGACATCATTTCGACGCGCACGTTCTTTACTTAATGACTATGCAAAAAAGTCAAAACCGAGACGTCAAAATTCGAAGCAAATATTTACGAAGTAAGAAATTCTACCTTTACATCTTTCCTTATCTCTTTCCGTCTCTTCTTCCTTTCCGTGAATGAAATATTAAGCATCAACGAGATTATGAGTAGTACAGAAAATCTTTTTAGGCTTACGTCCAATAATGACGTTGGCTTTTCAAAATAAACAAGAGAAAGAGAGAGAGAGAGAGAGAGAGAGAGAGGAACGAAGGGAGAGATCTAGCATAGTAAATCTTCTGTGTGCAACTTCTTACGTAAGCGCGTATTCAACAAGTTGTTTGCCGAAGATAATTTTGGAACTTTTAGCCCGAGCCAACGTCGAGGGATTGAGTATTTAGCACGATGCCCGCGTGTCATTCTGCAACAGCTCGAATCCAATTAATACCTGTGCTCTATTGATTTATTCATCCATTCGTCGCTTCGCTTTATATTTGGGGCAATTAAAAACTGGAGCGTGAGAGAGGCGGCGCGGCGCGAGGGGCTCTGCATTATTCCCGTTTCTAACAATGCTTAATTATCTCTTTCACGCTGATCTCTTCTAACACACAAATTGCGGCTACTTATTATTCTTATTTCTAACCACGCTTAATTCTTCCGCGCTAATCCATTCTAACCAGCTTGCGGCTACTTTAATAGCGTATAGGATAGCCGCAAAGGATAGTTGCTCTGCCAAGCCAATCGCCGATTTTATGCTTTCCGCGAAATACGTATGGCGGCATTTGTTCAAGAGCCGTGAAATTTTTACTTCCGACGTCATATATCTCGTTAAACGAAAAAGATTCCAATTGACCGTTATTCGAGACGAGCGCGTCGAACACGCGGCAAGGTGATACCCTTTAACTCGGTATTCAGTGCAATTCATGAATGTTGTCGATTAACCGTAATATAAAACCGCGGAAAAAAACCGTACAATGCGAAACTATATATAGAGTAACTTGGCCGGAAACGCGCCGGGATCTATCATCGTAGTCTGACATTAATTCTCAGGGACGATGTTTTCCCATCTGTCCGCGAGTCCGGAATGTTCGGATTATTTTTCAACGGTCGCGTGAGGCTAATCGTGTCATGCAGCATCTGCGAATGACGTTATGCGCCGAGCATTGTGTCGCGCTATCGACGAATTAACTGGCGCAATTAAAACTCATCTCATACGTCGCGTCGTCCGTTTACCTCGACATTCTCATTCATCGCGGGAACTCACACTCGCTGTATTCATCGCGTTGCGAAATTTGATGGAAAAATCCCGGACCAGAGTCGTGTCGAAGTACAGAGCTGTTTAGAGAATTCTTGACGATAAGATAAAAATACCGGCCAGTGTGTCAGTAAGAACAGAGAAGTAGGTCACGATCCTCTCCCCCGTGACGTTACCATCTCGGCGCGACGGGTTTGCGCCGGAACTTCGGTACGAGAGACGGAAATAATGGAAACATCCGCGAAACGATCCATGACGAACGCCCACGTCGCGTGCGCGACTATCGCGCTCGCCATCGTTACCGTGTAGCCAAAGGCTTCGTTAGCCTGGGAATTTGTCACCGCTCGACATTGCGATCCTCCTTCTTCTTGTTATTAACGCGAGCCACGCGAGAAATGACGTTCGAATGGGCTCGAGCGGTGTCACGCACCGGTTTACGGTCACGCCGCCGCGCCGCGCGTACCTATAACATTCGCGACTCGCGTGTAGACCCGGAAGATCTTCGAGACGCTCGCGAGAGAACTTGGCGGAGACCGCCCCGGGTTTTCAACGTCCCGGTCCACGCTGCAGCCTCCGAGCGTTCCACTTGTTAAGTTACACGAGTAATCTGATATCCATTCCCTGCCGACAAAATAACCGAAATCAAGATTTATTGGGCGATGTTATATTAACATCGATGACATCATCGGCGACCATTGGTATTAGGACGCAACACCGTCCTTTCGTAACGAGCGTTAGATAGACGTGCCCGTGTCCTTGATCGATGACGCAATCGCGGATAAAAAAACTCACGCCGGCATACGCATCTCTATCCGGTTTTTGAACGGCACGTGCGAGATGCTTGCCATCGGGGGTCGGTGACATTTTACAATGACGGTTTTCGCCTAATCCTAAGAATTGATAATTGACAAAGATAGACCATTGACAAGTTGTGCGTATTCGTGTTCTAATAACTCTCCTTTCAGCTGCTCATGCAAATGGGCTCACGGTTCACCTCCATTGCCTTATACGTTCCTTTACACGCCGTCACGCCGCATAACCGCGTGGGACGAATTTTGTGTTTTACTTAATCGCATCGCTCGGATCGTAAAAACTGCTAGAACTTGAGTTATTACAAAAGTCGTGTGGTTGCATACGCGAGACGTATTTATTTATGCCACATGGAAACACCACACAGCGTAGCGCCGACGTCTATAAATAATCAGAGATTCCTTCATGTTTCAGTTGATCGCGTTTTATTCTCCAAAAATATTGTATGAAATCTAATGAAAATTAGCAATTTAAAGTGTTGGTTTTTAATAAAAAAAAAAAAAAAGAAAGAGAAAACATCGTTTGCATCTTAAGACGACAAGTTAATTTGTTTTCCACGTGTATTTGCTGCACCTGCTCTGTATTGTCGAATTAAAGCAATAAGCGCGACACTATATAAAGCTTATCATTCGCTTGATCCGGTTAATTCCGTAACAGCTTCGTATTAGCAAGCACATAATATAACGTAATAATAAAAATACATTCTCAATTGGCGCAAATACATAACAGCGACGTTCTCCAATAGGAGAACGACGTTCGTTATCTTGCAATATGTTAAGAGTTCCTGCGATGACAATTCGCAGTGCAATTTCTCGTCTTTTGTAAGTGCAACGCGCGTGGGTGCTGTCGATACTTCCTTAATTGTCTGACGTACTGTATCGCGATAAAGACGATTCGCCTTGGCAGCGATGATTTTTCTACTATCCAAGCCTTAATCGAATCCTAATCGATCAGCATAATCGTATTACTTTTCCGATTTCGAATTGGAAATATCTTGCATCTCTCTTTTTCTGCATGACAAAGCGCGCGCTTCTTATGCGGTTATCTTCTGGCTATGTTTCTTCGTGGACGCTGCTGAGATTGCATTATGTGCACTTCAGAGAATTAGAAGATTGAAACCTTGTGTCGCTTGAAATAGTCGATGGTTTAAAACAGTTCCCAGTTAACTGCGGAAGAGGCCGGTAATCCTCGAAAGGTGCCAGGTTCGATAAATCTGAGTTTTAAGAAGAATTGTTTATAGCCACGCGTTGTCGTGTGAAGTGCCGCTGCCAACAATCGGGAAACGTGCAAACCGTGTGCGTTAATCTTAGATCTACATACCATAAAATAGTGCTAATTGTTGAAATAAACCGTACGATTGTCCGGGAATTGAGAGAAGTGCAGAAATGAAAATATTTCAAATGCAATTGTTTCGCGATATTTAGCGATGTTATAATTAAGATATTAATTTTGCAGACTAAATTCTCATGATTATTTTATAAATTGTTTTGTATATTCCAAGTGTAATTCGTTTCGCGATATTCAACGATGCTATGAGGTATTAATTTCGCAGACTAAATTCTCGTGATTATTTTATAAATCGTTTTATATATTCCTGGTATGAGTATTATGGACGCTGACGGAACAGGGTAAGCGAAATTTATTTACGATTTCGAGCGAGATGCGAGAACAGAAAATATTGTATCGGACGATCGTAATAATCATGACGAAAATAACAATAAATAAATTTCGTAAAACCTAGATATGCAAATTTTAAAGGCTATTTATTAAACTATATTTTGCTTTAATTTTTGCAACGTTATATGAGATAATTACGATAAGAGATAAGCGTTACGTAAAAGGTAATAAAAGACTCATTAGTTAACTTACGTCGATCACAAATAAACGTGTTTAGAAATAAAAATCCTATGTTTTCAAAGCTAACGGTAAGGTTGATATTGGAATTAACCGCATGAATATCCCGTAAATGATTATAAATTCGCCGAAGATTACTATATGATTTTGTTGGTGTAATTTGGAAGAAATATTATCTATGTAACATAAAACAAAAAAATTTTTCGACGTATTAAACGTATAGTTATATTGCCTGTCAACATGTAAGAATAGACACCCATTACAAAAAGTTTTATGTCATTGTTATCAGTTTTTCAAGGTTTATGGAAAATACGAAAAAATCACGTTTATTGCGAGGAATATTAACTCTTCGAGCATCTGCTGCTGTATGTTACAGCAGTCATCTCGAAGCCGGCACGTTTACACGTCGAGTGCCAGACAGAGTATCTATCTTTCAAATTAGATGAAATATGTGGGTGTATAACTGTATCTTTTCGCGAGAGATTGTCTCGAAACTCAGGAAATAATATATACATATAATAGAAACAATTTGCGTAGTTTTAAAAGGCATTAAAGTTCGTATCTTTCAAGATTTACGCGTTATTAGTGAGTTATTTATAATAATGAATCTACGAAGCAATATCCTGACAAAACGTTCATAGTGAAAATGATCGAATTTTCAAAGGGAAAAAGAATTTTGCCGTGAAGAGAGAAGAGTTGTAAAAGTTGAAAACGTTATCAATGCGTTCCAGGTCGCCGCTATCGGGGACGGAGAATCAAGGCAAAATCAAGGAGAGGAGCTCGTATTACCCCCAAGAACCCAGCAAGAGGCCGCAGACCAGGGGGCAGAAGGTGCGATCATGTCTGGGCCATAACGCGCTAACTATACTTACAGTCTCCGGCGTTGTCGGCGGCGTGGTACTCGGCATCATATTGCGAACCACGCGGGAGAAATGGACGCCCCGCGAGATCATGTACATCAATTACTTCGGCGACCTGTTCCTGCGGATGCTCAAGAGCTTGATCCTGCCGTTGATTATCTCGAGTCTGGTGTCGGCCATCGGCTCGCTCGATCTGTCGCTCAGCGGCAGGATCGGCGCTCGCGCGATCGGCTATTACATGGCTACGACCATCTGCGCGGTTATATTAGGTCAGTGAAAAAAAGCTTGATTTAGCTCGTCGCGACGAGTTCAAGATTATTTTGTATCGCGAAGAATAAAAGCCGAGCGATAAGGCTGAAGAAACCTCCGTCCAGATATAAGCGTAATTAATACGGAAAGCTAAATACGATTGCGTATTTTCGCGTACAGTTGGATATGCGTTTAACGTTTTAAATAACGAGGTTAAATGATACGATTGCTCACATCAGCGGCGCGAATCGCGTTCAAGGGATCGTGGCGTCTCGTCGCATCGTCGTCGCGACAGCGCGCGGGCAATGATGCATTTCTCAGAAACGGTAAACGCGATGCGACAAGCGGCAGATGCCGCGCAACAGTACCCGCCGGCATTTACATATCTGGTCGCGGAGGGAATGCGCCTGATAGCCCTGAATTCTCGTGACTCATCTCGGTTAATTAACGCGCACGGCCGAGCGGAGAATCGAGCGCGAACGACGCGACAGACAACACAAATTAGCGGCAGATTACTCGGCGACATTATCGCGGAGAGTTCGCGCTGCTTTACAATATTTTGCAACGTCGGACAAATATGACGTTTTATATTGCGTTAGTCCGGAGATTAGACCGGTTATAACTTGAAACTCTTTGCTTACGTATCGCACTTTTCCCTCTTCTTCTTTTTGCAGCATTATATCGCGCCAGCTGAACAGTTTCTATTTCTCGTCATTGTGTCACCGCACTTATCTTGCCGATTTTTTATTGCGACCGCTAAGGTTATTCGTCGCTCGTTTGCCCCCGCGATTGATTAAATGAATGACAAAAATGCGAAATATCCAACTGCCGAAAGCGCATAACAGTTGTCGGTTAAATTCTGATCTTAGGTATAATTCTCGTCATGTCGATCCAACCTGGTGTCGGGAGTTCCGCACAGGAAAGCAAAAGGCCGGCGCAAAACGTTTCCACTATCGACACGTTGATGGACCTAGTGCGCAACATGTTTCCGCCAAATTTGGTTCAAGCGTGTATCGCCCAGCATCGAACCGAGCCCAAGTTACCCGAGAATTCCAGTGGTAATAATCACTTTAGCGATAGAAGAATATTTTCAATTAAATCAAATAGCAAATTTCGACCAATTTTTTGAGTTATTTTTACCCGTAAATATCACGTTTAAATTAATGTTGCCTATTAGTTCCCATGGATGAATGGGAATTGGAGGAGAAAGTAGTCTCGGGCTCCAACATCCTCGGACTCGTCGTCTTCGCGACGGTGTTGGGCATCACCCTCGGTAAAATGGGACCGAAAGCGAAGCCACTGTTGAACTTCTTCGACTCGCTATCCGGCGCTATGATGCTGATCACCAACTGGGTGATATGGTAAGACTCGCAAATAAACATCCGTTTCTCGAAACGCATTAATTTTCTCAAGAAAGACTCGCACAATCGTTACGTAACCATCGTGATCGCGCAATTCTGTCGTGATAATTCTATCGTGTCATCTCGACTATAGATCATTTTTAGAAATTTATCAACTTTTGATTTATTATTTTTTAAATTCCTATTATTATTAATCTTGATTATATGTCTTATCGAACTTTTCGATTTGACATACTGCTATTTTACTTATTTATAAATTTGTTTCCAATTTTTTTCTTTTCAATTTTCTGAAATATCCTTCAAAATCGCCTTCGAATTAAGAATCTCGAGAATATTTCCGTATGTTACGTAGGCTGTCGCCGCTCGGTGTGCTCTCCCTGGTCGCTTCAAAGATCACGGAAATGAAATCGCTCGAAGAGATAGTCGGCCAGCTTGGGATGTATTTTCTGACCGTGTTGGTCGCCTTACTCATACATGGCTTCCTAGTGCTGCCCGGGATGTACTTCCTTCTTACAAAGAAGAATCCATATGTCTACATATCGCACATGGCAGAGGCGCTCGTCACTGCCTTCGGCACATCTTCGAGCTCGGCGACCCTGCCGCTGGCCATCAGCTGTCTCGAAGAGAAAAACGGCATCGATCCGCGTGTCAGCAGATTCGTCATGCCAATAGGCGCTACCGTGAACATGGACGGTACCGCCTTGTACGAAGCTGTAGCTGCCATTTTCATTGCGCAAGTGCGTAAAGTCGCCCTTTCCTTCGGACAGCTGGTAGCGATAAGGTGAGTACTTTTATTCATCTCGCGAAGAAAGATTTGCGTTTCTAATTTGGTCTATCTGTTGCATCTAATACTTTTTCTAGTATCACGGCGACCGCCGCCAGTATCGGTGCGGCTGGAATTCCGCAGGCCGGCCTAGTGACCATGGTGATGGTGTTGGACACGGTACGACTTCCGGCCAACGATGTCTTCTTAATCATCGCGGTCGATTGGTTACTGTAAGTCCTCGCTTACGATAGAATCGGGATTACAAAGAGCATCTTTAATGTGCGCGATGTGTTTGCATTTGCAGAGATCGATGTAGAACGACCGTGAACGTTATCGGTGATTCACTCGGCGCGGGGATCGTTCAGCATCTCAGCAGGAACGAACTCGCGGCATTGCCGCACACCACGCAGCAAACGCAAAACGGAGCCGATTGCCACGCGACCACGTCGATATGAGCTGGGACGTTCGTTAATCGTTAAACCGTGTCTCCTCGACCGACGATTACGAAACCGCTTCGCGATCGGAGGATCGGATCATCCACGGCAAACATATCGACACTTATCGCGCGGCTTATCGTTGGAATGTTGCCATAATTTCTTGAGCTTGCAAGAGTCGGAGTCAAATCCGAGGATTTAAGAATATATACGAGTAAATGAATTAAAATTAAAAATTAGGATTAAGAGAATATAAATAAATTTATGGACGACAACATGATATTACTTGTTACAGCCGTGTCATGTCTGAGATTTCTAATTTCTTTTAAAGTTTTTTATAAGTTATCCTAGAATTTTGAGGAATATATATAACGCCGTTGACGGGTATCTACATTTTCAATCGTATAACGACGGTCGACGATCGCGAGATGCGATCCTGACGAAGTGTTCTTGCGTACTCAGTGTTCCGCTTTTATATTAGTCAAATAATCAGTTTAGTATTAATTACCCTATATGCGAACCAGACTACGAACGAAGGGAGCAATCAACTGTACCGTATCATAATGCCATATCTGCGACAAATACACGCGGAATGCAATGAGGGCGCGCGAATTTCTTCATTCAGTTATGCGTATGCAAGTACTATAAAGAGAAAAATTACTTTCGTAGTCACTTAATTGACATCCATTCCGCGATACAAAATATAAATATACGTAACAATAGGGCAGTTACACGTCAGTTACTAACACGTAGCTCGCGGTGCGAGCAACGAGCGTTCTACAGATGATTTTGGAATATAAGTTATGTTTGAAACTAATTTTTTTTTAACTTTAGAAATTGTAGGCCCCATTAATTAGTGAATTTGCTTGTAAAATATATAAGCATATATATATATGCTTATATATGTATATGTATATTTGTCTTCCATTTTTGCGTTTGACAAGAATTACGCTTACAAGATACTGCAACGTATACAACACGTTACATTTCGTTCGAGCCGCATAATTCGCAGTCCGGTTTTTTCTTCCGCGAGTTATCTACGTTTCTTCGGATGATTATGCATTTAAGATTGCGGAACTCGTAAAAGATTCATAAAAAGCGAAACGGTGCTCTGAGAAATTGACTTTATCATTATCTGACACGACAAAGAGTCTCAAGAGTCTTATTATTTTTATATAGGACAATAGAAACGAGAATTACGTATGTAACGTTGCTCGCGCATATTATTCCGCGCGGCGATTATATATTAAAAAATATCGTCGCGCAGTTCGTGCCATACATTATTACCATCGTATCTCGAAGGTAGTTTTTACACCTACTGATATTCAGCGAATAAAAGCAAACTTAATGAGTTCGATGCCATTAGCAACAATCTACTGTGGGACTTGACCCTTAAGTATGAAGCAACGTTGATCATCTCACGCCTCCATAGCTCCTCGATTGAGAAAACGGGCATGCAACCATGCAAGTCCCTGCATTTTACATGTTTCTTCGCGCGATAAGAAAAAAAATTCCGTGACACAAAAATGTAAAAACGTTTCAAAAAACACGCGTTCAACCGTTGAGCATATATCAAACGACGAAAAGCAAAATCCGTACTTAAGGGTTGAAACACTTCTTTCTTTACACCCTTTTATCATTTGGCATAACAAGGATGACCGCTAAATTATTATGTCTTCGCGCGGCATGTAAAAAAATTATGTGGAAAAAATAACAAAATGATTAATAAACAAATTATCTGATCTATTACGCAAATTTTTTGGTCGAAGATCCTTTTGTTAATTTTTCGCGGAACTCTTTCCAGATTTATCTAAAAGGGAAACGTAAGTTTGGTGGACATGTCGTTATATTCGTATATATATGTATTATATAATTATACATATATCATATATATTGTATTATATAATTAACGAAAATGATCAACAAGAAAAATGATTCGTTAAAATTTTTGCATCATATCGCAAATGGAACCTGCAGGTGAGGCTAAAAAGAACGCGATTTTTTATGTGCTAAATAAAAATGAAATGTGTAGTATTTATTTTGTATGTGACGTAAATCTACTAAATGTTTTAATTAATGTTTTATTTAAACGGCCAGAATGCGGCGTATTTGAATACGGCATTTTTTATGCGTTAATTAAAAGTAAATGTACAGTTTATAGCATTTATTTTGCATGTAACGTGAATCTACTAAACGTTTTATTAATTAACATTTTATTTAAACGGCCGGAATGAATGCGACGCATTCGAATGCTGCCACACACGATTTCAATTAACGTGCTGCAAAGGTGCCATTTCTCGCTCGACGCTCATTTTCAGCCAGAGATTACAATTCGTAAGGAAATAATTCATGCGGTAGATATTCATCGCAAAGCTGTCAAGTTAGTATTTATCTAACAATAGTTATATAAATGCATGTATTAATATTTTCTTTTTATTAAAGGTTCTCTATACATTTGTTCTCTCCATCTTTCAGAGATTACTATTCTCTTTGATAGTAATTAATGTGATTTGTTTGAGCCTCAATCTTTATAGAGTGAGTTCTTACATCATTAAATATATTATGCATTTTTAGATGACCGTTTTGATTTTGATTTTATAATGTCATGATTATAGAAGAACCGTTTGCAATATATAATATCTAAATTGAAAGGATTTCGTTTTATTAATTAATGTCTGAAATGTCTTGTGAAATATACATAAAACATAAAAATTGCTATGTATGTGTTTTGGACATATAAACCATGTCACGTGAGAGCGATAGCAAACAATGTTACATTTATTTTGTAATTATACGTTTGCAATTTTTGCATTCTTGTTTATAGCTA